TATTTTACTTCGAACTTTCTTACATGCTATTCATAATAGAACTGTCGGCGGATAAATCGAAAAGCATTCACCTTTGTACCGCATACCGGCCGTGGATTTAATCTCCCTCACATCTCAAAGGGAGAAAACCCAACGGAATTCGTTTTAATCCATACAATGAGCTCTGTACAGTTTCCTCTCACGGTTTACAACAATGGTTCTCATGGCAGTTCGAAGTGAGTATTGATTGTTATTATTTATGCGGATCGTATTGTCCGATGTCCGATTTTTTTCGCATACCTCGCGTGTTTCAATCTGTATTGGGGTATAACAATTCGCGGACGATACCCAAGCGACTAACAACGTGAATAGAACCTGCAGGCCATTCGGTCGGCGTACTGCACATGCATGTGTGGTCTTCACCGGAAATGCGTGCGTGCGCGCGTGTGAACGAGTAACGGCGAGTGNACGTATGTGTAAAATAGGCGAATAGGAGTCAAGATGACGTGTGCGATGTGGGTTAGAAAAATGACAGTTGAATGTTGGGCGGTTAGTGGTTTAAGAGAAAACTGACGTGCCTGTGTATCCGATAGCTGAATGACCACCGGATCCCTGTCTCAACCGATGACAAATTTCAATAGACATGCTTCTTTCGCCAGATGCATGCGATCAGAAGGAAGGAAAATTAGATTTAGCCACAAGACAGATGCGGTTCGTGAGTGGGTAGTGTGATGGTGCATCGAAATAGAAACAAATAACCAAATGATAGAGGTTCTGCCCGAAATAGAAACAGGCATTTGTTCAAAAAAACGATGATGAAAATCAATTATGACACGGTGTGGATTGCATAGTTTTATTTGGCCGATTTGACGAGCGGGATAATTTGTTTTCCAATAGCGATGAGCGCCTGTGAGATATAAACAGGCATGGTCAAACCAGACCAACATATCCATAATCCCGTACGTCCACTTCACTACTACTATTATGGGATCCCGCTGTAGAAAAAAACTGGCTGTCATCAACTTGGGCCAGTACGAATATATTTCTCACATGCTCATTCGGTTCAATGTGATCTTTTTTGGCGAAGCACATATCCGAACCGCTAGTCATTCCGTTTCAACGAATGTTTGACCAATCAACACTCCCAGAATTGTGGAGAAAATGAGTCATTTCGCCGGTATACTAAGGTGGTTATCGTAGTGACCCCGCTAACTACCGACTTGTAACCCTGATTTCGGTGTTATCGAAATTCATGGAGTCAATTGTGACAGATTCCCTGATGGAACACCTCGAAAAATACAACATTCTTTCGACAGCTCAACACGGGTTTAGACTAAAGCTCCACCAACCTGTTTCTTGTTCCAGATGGATGGACCAGAACAGACGGAGAAGGGGATGCGGTGGATGCGATTTATCTCGACTTCTCGAAAGCATTTGATCGAGTGAATCACACAAGCTCTACAATCATGGCGTTCGAGATTTCGCGTTTGATTCGATTAAAGAATTCCTCGAACGATGGACCATATCAGTTCGTGTTTCTCATTGCATATCCGGATTCGTCGAAACCACCCGCCGTGTTCCACAAGGATCCATATTCGGTCCCCGTCTGTTCCTCGCATTCATAAATGATCTACCCAAAGTGTTAGGTCTAAAAACAAACAAGGAGTCACTCAACGCAGCTTATCAATGGGCAGTGGTAGCCCGGTGGTAACGCCATCAAATTATCACCTCGGGGATGTGCGTTCGAATCCCATCATCCCGCTGATTAACCGCTTCCCCCTTCCGGAAAATTGTATCTTTGTGCATTCAATAAAAGGAAGTAAAATGAAAAGAAAAGAAGAAAAAAGAAACGAAGTCTAAGGAGAACGACATTGGATTCAATGTTTCTACACCAAAAGTCCTATCCCTACACCACAAGAGAAAATTCTTGTATTTCCTCGGAAATCAGCAGCTACCACATACTTCAAGTGGAAAAACTCAGATATTGTTGTTCAAAAGGATTTAAGCCGCGCCATCAATTGTGCTACGGCTTCGTCCGCGGCTCTGAAGAATATAGGCTTGCTTAAGCGAGTATTTGATCGGTTTGAATAATCACTAGTCCCACGTTTGCTATCAGCGTACATTCGACCGTACACAGAGTGCGCCATCCAAGCATGGAATCCATGGCTTCAACGTGATCCCAAGAAGCTTGAGTGCCTACAAAGGATGGCCACCAAGATGGTCAAGGGATTGCATGGCCTCACCTATGAGGAGAGATTACGATCCTTGGGATTATATTCTGCTTAGTACCGCCGAACTCGAGGAGACTTGATTTTAACGTATAAAATACTGCAGAACCCAAACCATCTATGACTTTGACAAAGTTTCAGTTTCAGTCAGTTTTTACAACCATTAATCATGCACTTTCGTGCGCCGGTTTTGATTACTGTCTTTTGGTGCCCCATTTGGCTGAAAGAGCAGAATGACGATTGGAATGTTGAAAACAAATTCAAGCGGAAGATGGAGAATTCATGTAGAATGGTGTTAGGAGAATAATGAGTGGATGCACGAGCGCCACTGTTTGCGACACCCAGCCATATCACTCAGCGTCTCTAATCATCGGTAATCATCATTCCGATGTCCCCAGCCAAGGAGCCTAATGGGACCTATGTGACCTAGTCTCCTGGTTAGGGTTTTCATACCCTCATATCAGGTCTTCGTTTGACCACCTTTGACCTTTAACCAACCGCTACCTGTTTCGGCAAACATCGCTCACCGTGGCTACCTATTTGATGACATGCGTAACACATGCCCCAACGAACGTAATCTATGGAGGTCGATCACTTGCTCCAGTGGACGACCGCGACTGCCTGAAACTCTACGCCTAACCTCGTCATTACTCGTCCTGTTACCCCACCAGACACGTTCAATGCGACGTAGACGGCGGTGTTCGAACACCGACAATCTATTTTTATCCTGTTCCCTTAGTGGCCAAGTCTTTGCACCGTAGAGCTGGACTGGACGAATTTCTACAGCATACACTCGACCCTTCACAGATATCCGGATGTCGCGACGGCTCCAAAAATGTCTTAAGTATGGCACAAAAGATGATCCTCAGTGACCTCTTGAACATGACGAAGACAAAAGCCTCCCAAAGCCTCGGTATGGTAGGGGTTGTGTGTCTCGGGCTATGATTAGTCACCAGTCCCTTGCACCTCACGAAATGTCCCTAGTAAAACCAAGCGTCTGAAATAACCTATACTGAGGAAACCCTACTCACTGCCTACTCGGGGCGTCGGTGTTTTTCCACCAAAGTGAAAGGATGCAAAGCCAACAACAGGGCTGATGAACCTGTGACTTTTCACCTAGGGGAGTTGGCTACAAACCCTGATTCAAAACCAACTAAAAAGGGGCGAGCAAACCACATTCACCCACCGTTTCCTGGTTTGGCAATGCTCAGCGGCTCAATTGAGTATCCAGATTTACTGGACACAATGGACCATTGATCCCATCCAAAAGGTGCATGATTCAATGTACTGGGCACCGGCCCCCAAAGGATTGTGATTTTGACACACTGTCTCATTGCCATGTGAGTCAGGCATTGACTATTCGAAGGATCCAATTGTGAATTCCCTAAGATAATTCACCTTCTTCAGCCTGGGCAAAATGACAATATCACACCCACGTGCAAATCATTGTACTCTGATTTGTTTGACTTATAAACACGAGCACCATATAGGGTTGGGAGACGCGGCGGTGTTGATTGCGAACCACTACTATGATATCTCGGCTTTCTGTTTCCGTTCTGAAAACTTCCAACCTAAGAAAATGCAATGCATATTGTTTACAAGGTGAAGAATTGAATTGATGGCCAAATCTAGCGTTATTCTATTGAACTGAGCTCGATATTTGTTCGCATAATACGATACTGAGTTATTTTCACCTCAGTTTACATACTGCCCATGTCACTCAAGTGTGAATAAAGTGACTTCATTCAGTTTGCAGTACTCAT